CGTGCAGATTTAACCTTCAATAGCCCCAATGGCTGGTGCCCTCACCTCTCTGCATATTGATCTCTTTCAAAACAAATCTGTGCTGCTCTGATACATGGAATAAAAATGATTTTGAAGCACTAAAGTTCAAACCCTAGCCATCGATTACTATCATTCTCTATTTATATCATGTGATTGTTATCAGACTGAATTGGAGAATGATTTTTTTGCAGTGTCAAACAAACTTTCATAGGTTTGGTGGATGTTTGGGCAATTACTCAACTACTAACAAAAGGCCACTGGATGATTTTTATACCTGCATCACATCAAGTGGATTTGGATAGGTGAGTATTTTTTTTCACATTTGAGTTTTGTTATACTATTTGCTAGTTTCTTGCATTATTTTTGCTTATTCTCACTTTTGATGTGTAATTGAGATTATGTCAGGTTGCTTGTTTTTTCTTATCTGGCCATTTTGTCATGAATGATATGCCAAATCTTATTCTTTGAGCATGCAACTGATGGAACCTTGATCAGGGGCGGAGTCGGGATTTAGACATGCGGGGGGCGAGGAAGATAATAACCGTTTGAGAGACACAACACAAGAATATAGTCCCTAAATTAGAACTGATATGATTGTATTGCAACATATGTCTGGTAATATATAAAAAAAACTACATTTCTACCAGTTACATATCAACAGGATTGGGGTTGGAATTATCATCTACAACGGTTGCTTGTCAGGTGGATTTGCATTCTCTGTAACGTTTGAGCTAGAAGCAATGGGCTTGAAAACCAAATATGTTAGGCTGGGAAAAAACGAATATGTTTCTGTTGTATCCTTTCTCTTCATACATACTGTTTCAAACGTTAAACGAGGAGTAAAATTCCTATATTGTAATTTTACCGCCACTGTCTTCAACGGAGTTGTATTAATTCACAAATATTATTTACCAGTGATGTACCTAGATTCTTTGAAGTTGATCTTGTGATGCATGATACCGGTGCAGCACACAAGCTGGCATGGTCTTCATCGTGGATTCAATCTCCACAGGAGTGGAGTGGCCTCCGCCTTGTGCCGCAGCTGCGGACGGGCAGAGGAGACGACGACGTAGGGTACACGGAGCTAGCAGCCCTAGAAGCCATGATGCCCACGAACAAAATTACCGGAAGGATAGAAAACAGACTACCTGATCTCACGGATGCATGTAGTCTTTTTTTCTGATGCGTACAACAAGCGATCAGGGCATCAAGGGATGCTTTCTCACGTTGGGCGTTTGGGCTGGAAAATTCGTGCTAGGCCATTAGTGTTAAAACACTAAAAAAAACCAGGTTTGCACTTTATGTATAAGTACAGTTCATATCAGTACCAGGTAACGAAAACTCACAGGGGGGTGAGGCAATGCGGGGTGTCTGACCCCTGCTCGCACCCCCAGCCTCCGCCTCTGACCTAGATTTGATTATTGTTTTATCTTTGTGGTAGGTGACTAGCTAAAATAAATTTTGCATAATGGATATTAGCCATTAAAGATGACTAGCTCCATGATTAATAAGTGAGGCTGCTTAATTTGTTAAGTTTTAGGATTGGTAATAAAATAGGTACTTATCATGGAACCACAAAATCCAGGATACATGATTTTGGTGGTTCCAGGGTAAGTACCTATTTTGTTATTTCAGCATTATACATGATTAATGCTTTGATAGAGAACTCAGCAATCAAACCTACGTGCATGTTAATATGTGAGGGTGCAACCGAATAGCTGTACATGAATCTGGAACAAGAGGAAGAACCGAGGATTCTTCAAGAAGCTGCTTCTATTCGTGCACAATGGCGTCGTAGTTAGGTAAGAGGTACATAGACCTTTTCTGGTCGCTCGTCTATACATCATCCTTTCATTAATCATTTGTGATTAGCGGATGAAAGCACAAGCATGATTGTACTTTTCTTAGAATGAAGAAAAGAAATACACCATCAGACTGACGTACATTCATACTACCATCTCGTGGTCCATTTCTGTTGCAAATAACTTCTCCCTGATTTGAACAATAATTTTTCATGCTGAGATGGAAATTTTACGCTCACCGGATTACATTTTCAGATACTAAGATAGGTTACAATTGAATGTCGAACAATTGGTTGGACATTTTGCATCAGTCCTGATACCACTTAGAAGATAGAACAAGTCTGTACCTCTGGAGATTTTCTGAAGTTTTAAGTGTGTACCTAACCAATTGAATATTATAGATGCATTTGTTACTTCTACTTGACACCATTGAAACTCTGAAGTTTGCAGGGTTCAATCGACACATGGTGTGTAAGCATTTGCCTATCTACCTAAAGGGTATGCAGGAGCGTTGCCAACATCAATGTGCTTTGTGCTGCAGAAATGGATTTTCAAAAACCTCTAGCACATGGTGTCCTGGGAATTCCTGGCTATCTACAGTTCACCTCCCATACTCGAAGATATGTCGACCTGCTAGCTCATTATCAGGTATTTTGATGCATCTATTAATCATATGATAAAAGAACCAGAACATGTATAAATTTTGTATAGTATCTAGCTTGGCTGCTTTTAGAGGTCTGAGCTATAGAAGTTACCGCGGTAAATAAAGTCTGAAGTATTCTGTCAACGCCTACATATTTTTGGCCCATTATGTTTAATCTTTGGTGAGAAATACAATTACGCTCCATAAAATGAGCTAATGTCGGAGAAGGTCGTTCTCAGTTTTAGTTTAAAACCATTCGTTATGTTGCCAACTACTTTCTAAATTTTAATGCGGTCACAGTAAAGTCATCTAATGGACAGCTCCTTGTATAATTTAACTTGTTGATATTCACAGAAGACTTCTTGTTATCAATGAATATAGTGTCTAGAAATAAGGACACTTTAACTAGTGCTTAGTATGCCCCTTTACATGGTTATCTAAACTTGAATGGAGTGCCTTTCTTAGTAGGTGTTTCGGTACTAGCTTGCCTTGTGAAGTAATAGT